CGAGGGAGTGACACGCTCTCAGATGGGCTCCCACAAGCATAGGGCGTCCCTGTCACCTCGTAACACAGAACTGAGCACCCCTGGCAATCCTATCAGAAGACACTCCCTCCAGGGCCCGGGCTCAGAATTCCAAGGCAGATAAATAGTCAAACCTCCCGCTTTACCTCTTCCCTTTTCCTTTTCTTATTCATTTTCTTCTTCTCCCTTTTGGCCTTCTGCTTCGACCAAGCTTTATTTTTCACGAATCTTCTCCTCCCTTCGTTTTCTGTCTTCTCCTTCCTCTGCTGCTCCAGCAGTTTCTGCCTCTGCTTCTCCCTGATCTTATCTCTGAATGGAATGGTGTCCGTGTTGACGTCCACGGGCACAAAGTCTGGAAACTGCTTTCCCCTCAGCTCCGGCATCTTGGGCATCCTGAGCAGAGCGAAGCCTCGCGCCAGGGCAGCAAAGTCCAGATCTGATTCAACCAAGCACCAGGGTGAGACCGGCCCACGGGAGGTTCCAGCAGATCATTTTTCTAACCAAACGATCTCATGATCTCACTGTAACTAAAGTACTGCGTTTGTACTAAGAAGGAACACGCAGCAGCCAGCTCATTCCTCTACCCAAGCCCTAGGAGGCCTCCCCGTTAGATGTTTAGAAAACACCCCCGACACATGCCCAACATTTTATGAGACAGAGAAGCCTCGTGCCTGGGTGCCTGCGGAAGCGCAGCAGCTCAGACGGAGACACAGCGCCTGCCGACGCCCGACTCACCCTTGAGTCTGAAGATGAGGCTGCACTCGTGCTTGGCGTAGGCCTGGACGAAGGACACGAAGGCCCGCATGCCCTTCTCAAACACGGCCCTGTCGGCCAGGGCCATGGCCCGCAGCTTCGGGAGGAGGTCCGCCGTGTGCTTCTGTGGCTGCATCTCCTGCAGGGGGCACTGCAGAGCCCACACTCACTTCCTCGCCCCAAGGCTCCCCCCAGAGCCAGCGCCAAGATGACCGAGGGCAAAACAATCCCCTTGCATCTCAGATCAGAGGCCATGGAGCCCAAACCCAGCCCAAGTGCTGTACTGGACCGGAAAGTATTTAAAATTTTACATGACCCCGACTTCTGGTTGGAAAATATGGCAAAGCCAGGTCCACGTTCCCACCCCTGTCCACCAGGGACACAGCTGGGGCTGAGCTGGGGCTGCCACCCTGAGGAGGCGGGGGTCTCCCCCGGCCAGGTCCCCGCACTTCCATCACCAGCCAGGCCCTGTGAGCTTGTACCCCCATCTAAGTTCCCGACCACTTGCTGGAAAAGGAGCGAGAAGGCGGCTTACCTTTTGGTTGATTGCGAGGAAGTTGACGTAGGACTCTTCCATGGGGAGGAGGAACACCAGTGCGCTGCCACCATGGCCGATGCGCGCAGTGCGGCCACAGCGATGCACGAAGGCACTGCGAACACAGGAGGACACAGCGCCTGTGACGGTGCTGAGCAAGCACAGGCCCAGGGCCGCCGGGGCCGCCTGACCACAGCTCAGTCCCAGCCCCGCCCCGACCAGTGTGGACACAGGAGCGTCGGCAACTACATATCCATTGCCAACCAGACAGGACTCTGTGAGGCACTGAACATGACTACACAGTGTTTACATTTATGCTTATCTGGTGGTACAGGCTGGTGTGGTCCTAGTAGAAAATTTGGAAAACAACAAAAAGTATAAAAAAGATGATGACCTGTGAGCTTCCCACCGACAAGGAACCATTATTACTGCTCGGTTCAGTTACAGGCATTTTCTACTTGGAAGCATTTATCAGTCATACATACTGTTTTCCTTAACCCTTTGAGTGCCAACCAGTATCCTAGGAACTATGCTACAATTGCCAAGGCATTTTTGCTGATTTTACAGTTTAGGAAAAAAATTATGAATCGCAAGTAAATGAAGTTACATATTCAAAAACATAAGGAAACCTTTACTACATTTGTTTTCATCTTTGACATATATTGTTTGCTGATTGTATTATAAAATACTAGTAGAAAAAAAAATTGCCGATAGCGCCCCCGGCACTTTTGGCGAAAGACAGGAGGAGCGCGATTGCGCTCCCCGGCACTCAAAGGGTTAAACATGTTATCATGTCCATTTCTGCAGGAATTTGCTGCAAAACCTGGTATCACTACGAGAGCCATGACATGCCCACTCGCCTATTTTTGCTGTTTAAAATCACTTTCAACTCGTCATTTTATCTGCCCCGAGACTCCCATTTCTAGGCGATTCCTAGGCGGAGGGCAGCGTTCGGTCGTGCAGTACCTGGCACTGCTGGGGGGGTCGTACTGCAACACCCAGTTCACCTCGGGGATGTCTATGCCGCGGGCCATCACGTCCGTGCACACCAAGACCCCGCTGGAAAGGGAGACAGCGCGTGGTGAGCGGGATCCGCACTTCCATCGCCAGCGCCTTTACATCTCAGTGAGGACAACGGGGGACAGGTTCCGGGATCTCACAGTGACCACGACATGCAGGTCCCTGTCCTTACGGAGCTTACAACCTCTCAGGGAAGCCAACAGCTGGCTGAGGAAGTCGGCACAGCAAAGTGGGTTGGGCCAGGACAGAGGGACAGGTGCACATCTGCACAGAGAGGACACAGTAACTGGGGAGGGGGCGGGGGCGCCAGCAGGGAAGTAAACTACGCCCACGGAGCATCAAAGGCAGAGGGACATGCGGCGGCTGGAGACGCGCCGTCCCCGCCAGGCCCACCTCTGCAGCTTGCGGAAGCCCATGAAGATCTTGTTGCGCTTGAACTTCATCTTCCCGTGAAGACACATGATCTCCACGCCCTTCACCAGCGCCTCCAGGGCCTTGCCGTAGTATTCCACGCAGGCACAGGTGCTGCGAGGGGGACCGAGGGCTCAGGCGTGGGCCATTGGTCCCCTACAACCAGACGCAGTGACGCCCGCCCTCCGGGAGAAGGCAGACGGCTGTGCGTGTTCACAGCTAAGCTCCAAATCCTGGCCCCTGAGAAACGGCTTAAACTGAAGTCGTCTTTCATAACAAAAGCAATGACATCTTAAATATGAAGAGTTTCATGAGATTTCCAAACGCTCCTGCTTCCCCTCTGGGGACTGGCTTCTCCCCCATCACTGACTCCCAGGCTCAGCAGGTAAGCCAGGTCCCCCCAAGCAGATCCACCCCAGGTATCTGGTCTGGGCGCCAAGTCCCCCCAGGACATCGCAGTGAGGGTGCCCGAGAGGGATGGCCACGCAGCTCTCTGGGGCTCCCCGACCCTGTCTTCCCAACGGCTGGGCATCCAGCTTTGGGAGTCTGTGAGCTCCCTCCCAGCGCCCCCTAGTGAA